CCTCTGCTTTCTTCCTCCCAGAATTCAGTTCTGTCTTCTCTGTCTACCTAAGTTCTGCCCTATCAGGCTAAGGCAGTTTCTTTATTCATTAACCAATACAAGCAACACATAGACAGAAGGACCTCCTCCACCATCCCTGGTCCTTGCCCCTGATGATCCCTAATCTTGCTGATGCTGTGTTTCTGTTTAGTGCCTTCTTACCCTGGGGCATGGGTGCCCATGCCTGTGTTGCCTGGGAGCACAGTCCCTGTTGCAAAGACTGTCACAGAGTCACACATCATCAGAGAAGGTCACCTGCTGCAGAGCTCAGGTTCAGAGAGAGGAGGAGCATGGGGCTCATAAAGAGTGGCATGGGGCCCAGGCAGAGCGCAGTGCACAGGATGACCTGTGTGGGAACAGCTCATGGAGAGGAGCCCAGAGGTGTATCACTGCATCTGGCGTCTCGGGGTTACCACCCTCTGTGTGGAAGCCGTCTTGACTGCAGCTTCCCTTTCTCCTTCAGCCCATGGCCTCAACTCTCTCAGCAGGCGTGGGTCATCCCGAGCTGTGCGAGGTGCCAGCAGCAGCGCTGTCGGGTTGTTAGCAAGTGTCCTTCCTCCTGGAAGATGCTTCCTTTTAACCTGACCGAACTTCCTCTTGGGAAAATCGTTATTATTTCCACCATCCTGGCAGTGGGAGATTTCTGTATGGAGAGTGTAGTCCAGTGTAGCCTGAGCCCATAACTGAGTTCTGAGACTTCTCAGAGGCTGCAGCCATCAGCTTATAGCAGGATTAAGCGATGGTGCTGTGTTTATGTCCACTGGGGTGTGAATGTCCTCAGGGAAGAACTGTCCTGCTCAGTCAGAGTTCTTTGGGCCTTTGCAAGATGAACATGTATGTTAAAACTGTGTAAGCCTCAACCCTGACATTTGTGTATGTGTGTGAAAAATATATTTTACACACATGTGCGCACGCGTGCACACACACACACACACATACACACACACACACAGTAAGAATCCTGCAATGCTCCGCAAGTGAATTAGGAGGCATGTCGAGACAGAGCAGATGTCTGAAAAGCCACAGATATCATTGCTTTCAGGGCGGATGACATATCTTCCTGTGACTAAACATTGAGAAGCCATTTTCTTTTGGAAGCTGACTCACTGAACAAATAATTTGAAATGCAACTTGATGTTGGAGATTTTCAATTTAAAATGACTGTCACTGGCCCACTAGACTGGTAAATTATGTAAACAAAAAGCTTTGTTTATGGTCTACTACTGCTTCAGTCAGAATAAATATAGAATCTAAAGCTCCTAACCAATGTTGTTGGAATGTTAAGCAAAGTGCGCCTTCAGCTCGGGGTGAGCCTCCAGCTTGGGTTGCTCGCAGATGGGCTAGAAGCAGCTTCTCCAGAGGAGGAACTTAGAATTTCAAAGGAGGCCGAGTCATGGTGGAGCTGATGCGGGGCAAGGTGAGGTGTGAGATCCACACTCTCCGGCTGGAGCTTCCCAGGCTCTGGAAGATGCCACTTGTCCAGTTTTTCATTTACACAGTAATTAGCGCTATTTTATAGGGTTATTGCAGTGTTATTAAGACCCCTAATTAAATGACCTTGAAATATAGAGAAGGTCACAGACCCTTCAAATCTGGACTAGAGTTCGGGGTCGGGTTCGAGTCAGTGGGAGTTGCAGCTTACAAAGGACTGGACACACATGAATGCAGCCCTCATGGCAAAGGCTGGAGAAACTCTTGGAAGATCTTTATGGAGAGACATTTGCGCTGCCAGACTTTGGAGACAGCGGAGCCCAGGTTAACGCTTTCCCACATTGAATAAATCACCTTTATCTGCCCTTTACTATTAATTATGTCTTTGATTGGCATATAGGGGGAGGTTGGCTGAACCTAGCCTTTTGGAACTGTTTGGGGCCAGCCTCTGACCCTAAATTAAACCCCAGTTAGAGTAGGAACTTACAGGGGGTCTTTAACAAGCATAAACAAGCATATGGGACTTGAGTCCCCTTGCACAGAGCTGCCCTTTGCTAAGAGAGAAAGTTAGAGTGGTCTCCCCTGCACCCAGCTCTAGGCTAGAGCACCTTGACTCTGGCTTCAGGATTCTCTGAGAGGATGCCCCAGGCATGCGGAGTCAACTGCACGTCCAGAGAGCATGGAGCCCAGAGCTGAGCATTCTTAACACTCTTGGTGACAAGCTGTCATGTGACCTTACTTCCTCTCAGGTCACTCTGGTTCTGTGCACTGTGCTCTGTGTTCCACAGAGATGGCAGCAGACATTCCCACCTGGGCCACTGTGACCTGACTGTGTGACCCCACCGGCAAGGGTCTGCTCTGGCTTCCCCCACTCTCCGTGCGACGATTTGGTCTGCTCTCCATCTCTTTACTTGGAATGCTTTTCACCCAAGCTCACTGCTTGGACATTGGCTCTTGGTTCCCAGCCGCCAAGCTGTGAGTGTCTAGGTCCTGTAGGGAGGCAGTGGTAGATGCCCCTCAAACAGAGTTGTTTGAAACCAGGTTCAAGACTTCCCACACCCTCAGCTCTTCTAGGCGCTCGTCCTGTCTTCCCAGCCATGACCTCAATCGCTGGGGACCAAAGGCAAGGCTTCCCTTGTGCCTTGGTCCTTGGAAAATGATTGTTTTATGCAACCACATTTGCAGTAGTTACATTTCCCTAAAATTCCATAACAGTGACATTGTTATAAAGAAATCCTGAAAAATACGTGCACAGAAGCAGAAATTGCAGACTATCAGTCCCATGCCACCTCCTGGGTCAAAGCAGTCACTACCTTGTCGAAATTCAAGGGGCAGGGATCAGCCCAGGTGACAGCGCAGATGTCTGCACAGATGGAGGAGGCCCTGGGAAGGCAGGGAAGTCCCCAGTGGGTGGAGCAAGTTAATGGCTCCAGGCCTTCACCTCACGCATCTTCTCTACTCATCGCTGGCACAGTACCCAACGGAAGCAACTCAAAGGTGGAATGATTAATTTTAGAAACTCTTTTATTATGAAGGTTTTATTTTTGTATGGTAATGCATGTATGTAATGTAGTTTGATCATGTCCACCCCAGCTCCCCCTCCTACTCCTGGATCCCCCAAACCCTCCTGTTACCTTACATCTTCTTCTTTTATATAAAACATGAGTTCGCTTAGTGCTGCCCGCCTGGCCCCTCCTAGGGCCGTGAGCCCCGGTTTACAGTACCAGACAAGAGTTTCCTCATGTGATGTTGGCCTCACACCCGACCAGAGGTGCTTGGTTAGCCTGGTCCCTGCTCTCCACATCTTTGAGCTTGAATTGTTAGATTTCATGTGTAAGTGAGATCTTGACCCCCGGCTTCAGCATGCCCCATCTGGGGTTTGTGAGTGTGCCACCACGTCCAGCCTCCTGCAGCTGTGTTTCATTTCATTCAGAGTCACAGCTTCCGTCCTGTCCTTTGCTGACTGGCATTCTGCTACAGGCCTCGGCCACACTCTGGGCTCCTGTTCTCTGACGGCCCCAGGCTGTTGCTCTGTGAGGAGTGGTGACTACACTCACTGTCGCCAACGCTAAGGTTGCCCTTCTGTGTGTGAGCCTGGGAGGTCCATGTCTCTTGTGCCCTTAGCCCAATGTGCGTGTAGCCCGTTTGGAGAAGAAGGTTTCATTGGCACACAGCCTGTCTGTTTCAGCATCACGAACAGCCACTCTCACGTCGTCTTGCTAGTTTCACAGACGTTATCACAGACAGACAAGCCCCTGGCGGCCAGGTGCGGTAGCCCTGTTGCTGTTTGCCCGGCAGTGTCTGTGACACAGACAAAATGGTGTGGATTTACAACAGAGGCAATATGCTTGTCTTGTCCCCAGAACTGATCTAGCAGATAGTTAAAAAGAGTAGTTTTAAGATTTATTTTTAATATTTTATAAAATTTGTGTGTGTGTGTGTGTGTGTGGTGTGTGTGTGTAGGTGTGTGCAGATGCCTGCAGAGGCCACTGGGTCCCCTGAAGTTGGAATTAAAAGCCATTGTGAGCTGCCTAGTATAGGTGCTAGGAACTGAACTTGTAATCTCTGCAAGAACAGTATGTGCTCTTAACCACTGAGCTGTCTCTCCAGCAGCCAAATATAATTGCTGTTAACCAAAGCAGAGCTATAGCCTGTGGCCCCAGAGTGGCCTGTTTGGAGAATAAAGTTTTATTGGTACACAGCCTGTCTGTTTCAGCATCACTCGAAGCTGCTCTGACATTAATTTGACTGGGCTATGGTTGCTATAGGGACTGAGAAGCTGTGTGTTGTCCTGTATTTACTGCTGGCCTGCTGCAGGAGCACTGCTCTACCTTGGACCCAAGGGGTGTTTGGGAGTGGAAATACTGTTTCGTTTTGTTTTTTTCTTAAAATTACCTTTTGTAGCACTGGGGTGAAGCTTCCACTGCTGAACTGCGTCCCCAGCACCAGATTACCAAGTTTAACAAACACTGACTAGGTCGGATGGTTCTGGTTTCATCGGACGACTTTCTCTGAGAGCTCATGAAATAATTATTCTGTTATAACTGATGATAATTTATAACCAGATTTGATGAGAGAACGTGCCTAGAGTAGACTGGGTGATTGGTGTCCAATTTTTTAAAAATTAAAGGCCATTAAAATTCATTGTGCTTTAATGTATTTATGCGGGGAAGACAGCTAACGAGGCGGAAATAAACGGCGGTGTCAATGCTGGTGGCTCTGTGTGCACTGTGGACTGGTTACGGTATTCGCCCGGCATTACCTTGGCTAGATGTCTTTATAATAATTGTGAATTTTAATTAATTTTCACATTAAAATATCAATAAGGTTGAGCAATCGTCGTGAGATGCCTCGTGCTTCCTGTGTGTAATTGCTGAGTTCAGTGTGCTAAAGTCATCATTTGTTTACTTAGTCTGTTTCTCCATCGGAGTTTGGGCAGTTAGACATGGGGTGTCGATCCACCCTGTTAGGGTGGCCGTTCAAATGTTCATCTCTCACGTGTGCTCACCCTCTCTTTTCCTCCCCTACAGGCTTGTGGAGGAAAGCAAATTGGTCCCGGTCATTTTCGAAGTGATTCTGGTAAGAATGCAAGGCTCTCTTTTGGAATCCAAGTGAACATTTCAAATTTTAAAGTTTTGGGGTGAACTGTATGGTCGTGTCTCTAGCCCAGATGCTGTGCCCACAGAGTGTATGTCCTTGTCTTGTTGACCTCATCAGACCTCTGCTCTCAGACCTGCACAGGACATCACACTCTGGAAGTGAGAGTAGCTGGAATCCCTGACTCTGTCCTTTGAAAGTCGTTTGTCTTTTATTTCTGTTGTCCATCCTTCCTTCCCTCTCTCCCTCTCTCTCTCCCTCCCTCCCTCTCTCCCTCCCTCCCTTCCTCCGTCCTCCATGATGGTCTCTGAGGCTTGAGAACAGGGGTGTGATAGACATGTTCCATTTGTGACTGAGTGTGCCAAGGATATGACCAGTTGTGGGCTTCTGCTTTAACCACCGTCCACACACAAAGGAACTTCTCTGATGAGGTCTGTACTAACCCATGGGTAGAGAGAAGAATCTAAAGGGCCCGCTACAACTGTGTCCAGTTGGCAGAGTAATAGGTGACGTAACTGCCCATTCTCCATTATCCCCACGTCCCAAATCCAGACAGGAAATTCCCGCTGGTGGGTGATGGGGAGCACTGTCAGGACTAGCAGCAGAGAGTGTTTAATTTATGTCATAGCGCTCACTTTGTCACAGGGAACGAAGGGGACACCCCTCCTCAGTCCTGCACCCTGCACCAATGCTGCCGCAATGCTCCAAATCTACGAGGATCTTCTGTGCTTAGTTTCTTGTTGGATGGCGTTTGTAATTTTTATATTTGTTGTGTGTGTGGTCACATGCCGCAGTGCGTGTGTGGAGCTCAGGGCACACTTTCGGGCGTTGGGTTTATCCTTCCATCAGGCTGGTTCTGGGGTGCAAACTGCAGTCACTGGGCTCAGCAGCAGGCACCACCATCCACTGAGCCATCCTGCTGACCCAGGGTCTTATTTTATAGGGGTTGAGAGTAAAAGTGAGGCCAGCTGCTTTCTGAGGTCGGGCTGACGTCCTTGAAGGACAGTGTCTGTTCCTACTCTTTCTGCCTTTAGCCTAGTAATCTGTGCCGTTCTCCTAAGCAGACATTTAATCAGTGCCAGGTCTGTAGCTGTCACCCATGGACACAGCCTGTCCTCTGGGGATTTCACTCATCCTCTCTTCCCGTTCAACAAAACACACATTCTTACCTTGACGCTCCTGAACCGAGGCCAATTTTACAAATGTGTGGCCCTTCGCTGTTGCTTTCAGCCACGTGACCTGAGTGTCACGGCCGTGACCAATTTATTTCATTTTTATCTCCCTTTACATAAGTGCCCGAGAGCGATGTATTATAGAAGTCTCTATCTACACAAGTCGAAGAGAGCAGTAAAGAGTAAGAATTCTGAGCTGAACTGTGATATTTTTCTTTCTGAGTGTCTGATAAAATATCTGTGCACGTTAGGACTGACTGGTCCCTGGAGTCAAGGGACATACATACATACATACATACATACCTCAGTGTGGACTGACATCTGAGTCCGAGGACCTCTGTGACATATGGCATGTGTGTGACGTGTGTGTGGCCTCTGTCAGTGCTTGGATCCAAAATGAGTTCCAGTGATGAGACGGTGAGGGACCCTATGCAAGTGAGGTTACCCATCCATAAGACAGAAGCAGGCCTTGATTCACAGTGGGGCAGCTATGGTGACCTCTGGGTGACCTCTGCCTACAGCTATTGTGATTAACATAGTCAAAGCCTGCTAAAGGACTTTGCACCTTGTAACTTTGTTTCTCTTTCCCAGAGTTCCTTGTACCCACAAGGCCTACAATGCATGTTTTCTTAATGTCCTTTCCTAAGCACTCCCTGGAGTGCTTTTCCTGAGCAAGGGTTTCCTGGCGGTCTAGAGCCAAGGGATACCACAAAGTCACACCACACAACAAGCTTCACACAAGGGGTTTCTCAGGGAGAAGCACAGAATGGTGGCTGCCTATGAGTGGGAACAGAGAGGCAGGGGCCTGGGAAGAAGGGCAGGCTTTTATAGTCTTAGGAACATGGGCAGTGAGCTAGGAGAAAAGGACCGCATGGCTGGATGTATTTGCTGAGCATGAATCCCAAGTCATGGCGTGGAGACCAGCCAGGGGCAGGGTGATCTCCACAGGCCTGTTACCCTACCTGCCCCCTCTCTGGTGGGCAGAAGATGCGGGCTTCTTCTCTGCTGCAGTGGCAGCTGCTGAAGGAAACGGGGCTTTGAATATGTTGTTCTGTGTGAACTGGCCCTGGTGGACTTGCCTTGAGGGAAGCAGAAAATCTGGATTTGTGTGGAAGAGCAGGGTCTTCAGCGGTAGAGGACTACAGTTCATAACAAATTAAAAGCAATTCTTACTTTGGGGGAAAACATCCAAGTTACCTCTGACTGCTGCTGCTGGCTGAGGAGGAACAGTCCTCCTTCCTCTGCAGGGCTGGTGTGTGAGAGAGCAGGGAGAGAGGGAGATAGAGGAGGGAGTAGGGAGGGGAGGGATCGTCTCCTACAAGTGCTTCACTGGGCAGGACCTGTTGAGGCTGGGCTGCATCCTGGCAGAATCCTGAACCACTGGGCACATGGCTCTGACCTACCTGTGGGTGACGATCCTGCTTATGTTACCAGTGTGGGAAGACTCATCTTCATTGTGGACCCTGGACTAGATCCCGAGCAGGGATGGAGACAGCAAGCTGGGCACTGGCTTGCATGCAAGGCTTGCTTCTCCCTTGAGTATCATGTGACCAGCGGCCTCCTGGCCCAGCCCGTTTTGCACCGTGGGCTGCAGTTGGCCCCTCCTCGAGGTTTCTGTGTCAAGGTGTTTCACTGCACCAGCAGAAAGAGAAGCCAAACAGAGCAGGACTAAGCTTCCACCCCAGAGGAGGGGCTGGGACTCTGGTGGGATGGGGTGGGGCAGGGTGGGGGGGTCATAAAGAAGGAGAGGGTTCTGGGTGAGTAGTGGGTATGGGCCGTGCTGAGATACCCGTGTGCATGGAGTGACAGCTACTGGGGCCACCGGACAGACCTTTCTCCTGCGTTTGCTTCTTCCTGGTCTTGCAACGATACCCCGCAAACTCACATGGCAGCCTTTGCTTGGGTAGGCCTGTCTATGCCTCAGATCACAGGCCTTAGGCCTGGGACTCTTGGAACAGCTTTAGGCCATTGCTGGAAAGCAATAACCCATGGTCTCTGTCACTGGAGGATGCAGACAGTGCTAGCTGTAGGTGTCCATCAGTGGGGCTGATGGGTCAGTCACAGGGACTGTGGGAAGGCAGCATGGTGGACAGCTGGTCTCAGGTCTGCCTGAAGGTCCCAGGAAAGAGCAACAGAGAAAGCAGGGTGCCTCGGTCTTGAGCTTCACCTACAGGTCCCCTGTACACAGAAAAAGTGGTGTTTGCCTCCTGCTGGCAGGGCCCATCCATGGACACCCCTCCCCTCGCCCGTGTACTCAAGTACATGTGTTGGTACCAGAGTAGGGCATTGGGTGACCTTGTTTTCTCACTGTCTGCCTTAGTCCCCAAGGCAGGGTCTCTTGTTGAGTCTGGAGCTGGGCCTGCAGCCATAAGACAGTCTCCCCCCATCTCCACCCCCACAGGCTTCAGGTATGCATAACTGTATTTCACTTCTTACGTGGTTCTGAGGCTTTGAACTTAGGTCCTCATGCTTGGGCAGTCCTGCATGTTTACTGTCAGCACCAAGCAGCTGTGCTGGGCGGTAGCAGAGGACCAGCCTGCATCGCTGCATGAGGCTGCACTGGTTCCCATGGACCCTGTTTTCTGGGCCCACATCTAAGGCCCTTGGATGTGGCTGGTAAACACGGCTTCCCGAAGGATGTGAGCAGCACCTGGCTGGCTTTTGCGCATAGAGTTGTTGGGAGAACAGAATAGAAGATGTTCATTTTCTACTTTCTCTCTTTGCAAAGCATTATAAGTTGCATTAAAATGTTTTAAACGTGAATTTGGAAGTAGCCGCCTTTGAACGTTGCTGTAACTCTAATCTCTCATTTTATTTCTGTGGTTTATGTTGTGGCTACTTCAATAAATCATTTTAATGCCAAGCGATATAGGCAAACTCTGTTTTATTGGAAGAAAAATCTTTATTCATGGCAGATTTTCCAATATGTGCCAAAATACTGCTGTCGTGATATTTTATGTGCCTGTTTCAAAACAAACAGTTGCAAAGCAATTTCAGTGGCAAATGCGAACAATAAAAATGTGATTAGCAGTGCACAAGCCCGGCGGTCGTGTTGTTCTAACGGTTCTCTGGCGCCTCAGTGGCTGCGAGCGTAGTAAATCTCTTGAGTCAGCCCTGTCTTTGGGAAGGCATTTCTTTAGGATCCCTGGTACCTAAAGACTTTCATCCCTGACGTTAAGGTCTCAGCCCCGCCATGTTTAAGGAATATCTTGAGTTCCACACACTCATCAGACTCTCAACTCTGCATCTCTTGCTTCCAGTTGTCCCAGTTCAAGTGAATTGCTTCTTGGGATTTAATGGGCTCCTTAGAACATAGCAGGTTCATCTCATTCTAAAACCCATGTCTGTGCAGCCCAGGGCTTCTGTAGCCTACAGAATTGGCTACACATAGGACTCCACCTATCACTAATACTCTATTTACTGATGAGTGAAAATGGGCTGGCAAGACGGCTCAGCAGGTAAAAGCATTGGCTGCACCAGTCTGACTGTGTGATCTTGGTCCTTGGAGCTGACATGAAAAACCCTTAGCCTGGAGTTCACACATAACGTCAGGAATGAGAGAGACCCTGCCTCAAAACTGAGTGGATGGAGGAAACTGAATGCCCCCAGTTGTCCTCGGACCTGGACAGATGTGGCATGTGTGCCCACATCACAGACACTACATGTACCCCGTGGAACTGTGGGTGTCTGTAGACCTTTGAGACATAGAAGAAGATAACTGGGTTGGGCTGGTTCGGACTTCTGGAAGGAAGCCTCATATAAAACCATTGACTGCAAATTCTCCAGATGTGATCCAGTTGTGATCATCAA